CGAGCTGGTTCTGCGTCCAGCACGAATGCATCTAGTCAAACGACAGCAGCATCGCAGTCGCAACCAACAACAGCAGCAACAGCAACAACAACAACAGCAGCTGCTGCTGCTGGTGCTGGTGCTGCTGCAGGCAGCACACAACGCAACAACGTATTTACTTTCGACGATGACAATATGTTTTTGGACTAATTTCGTATGGGGAGGGGGAGTTTTACGATACGATCTGATGGCATGGAGAAATGGTAAAAACAACTCTGATATTCAAAATTGAAATAAGGTCTTCGCGTCCACTCGAGCGTTGGCAAACTAAATCCATAATAGTTGCATATATTTATAACAATTTTCTTAAACATAAAAAAAAGGAAAAAGATAATGAAAAAGAAAACGAAAACGAAACCAATTACACACCACACTCTTTACTTTTGTTGTTGTTTTAAGAAGGGCTGGTAAACAATATTATTATAAAATTATTTTCTCGTTTTTTGATTTCATTTTGGCGCTCAGCCATAAATATTTTGTAAACGTAGTGAGACGATTACCGATTTTATATGGTATATATTATACAAGCATATAATATGTATAAATAACTTACAATTATTGTACTAAAAATTCTGAAATAGAAAATATTACGTATTTCCGCTTAATTCAAATTACAGCAATTGTATATTATTGCAGATTTAATATTTATATATATATATAAATGTATGAAAACAAAATAACTGTAACTATTTACTAGTTGCAAAGTAAAAGCTTATTTGTGAGCTTGATAAATCACAATAATTAATTAATAAAAACGAATCAGCAATTTTGGTTTCATTATTGCAGTTGCGCACTAAAAACAACAATTGTTAATATAACTAAAACAAAATAAGTCAGCTGTGTGTGCAAATGCGGCAGTGTGGCAACGCCAACGCTTAGTTTGTCTCTTGTCGTATTCGTTGTTGTTGTTGTTGTTATATGAAAGGCGCTACTTTTAAGCCAAATAAATTGTTTATAGCGACAAACACAAAATGTTGTAGTCAACATTGGCAGCACAGGGGCATTTAACTATGACAACAGCAAGCGAAATTGTTCTCCTCACCGAAGTGGTAAGGCACAAATATAAGTCGGCTATTAAATGGCTAAATAAATGCAAATAATAATTGTGCAGGTGCGTAAGCAATATGTGCGCTATTTGGAACGCCAGCTGGAGGAGAACGTGTGCGTTTGGGCAGCCAATTCGTGAAATCATCACAAGCCCACGGCGTGGGCATGCATTGCGCACAGCGTCAAGGCACTGGAGACGCATGCGATTAAGGCTAGCCAGGCAGCCCAGTTATATCAGCGTGCCATGGTCAAAATGGTAATAGTTTGTAATGCCGTACATATATCAATTCTGATAAGTTAATGCGTTTTTATGCAGATAGCCGCTGTACGACGCAACACGCAGGAATGCCGGCTGGCCGATGCACTGTTCGACCATATGCAGCGACAGCAAATGCTCGATGATAACTCGATGGATCAGCCGAGCAACTCTCTGCAGCTGGTCGACAAGTCAACACAAACCATGGCAACAACAGCAGCAGCAACAACAGCGGAGCAGAACGAAAATTATACAAGCTACACACTGAGCCAGAAAATCGATTTTTTTCAGTCGCAGCTCGCCGAGAGCGAATGTGAAACGCAGCCAACTAAATTGAATGGCAATGAGCAGGAGGAGCGGCCAACAACATCCATGTCCGGCACAGAGGATGAAGTTGCCCAAGAGTTGGCCAAACTCTTTGACGATGAGCCCACCGATTTGAATGCCATATTTGGCATTGACTTCGAAACAACTGCTACACTGATAGACACATCACTTGAGCCCACAGCTGCATTAGAGCCGCAATTAATGCCACTGGCATCGCCAACGACGCCGCCATCGCTGCCGCACAACAGCAACACAAACTCGGCGGATCTGCGGAACAGTCGCTGGCCCTGTGAGCTGTACGCACAGAGGCGTCGTCTTAGCGCCTGCCTGGTGCGACTGCTGGACACGGATTGGCGCTGCGAGGATGCACTCAGATACAAATTCCGTATACTATTCGGCGAGGACAGTGACGATGAGTTTGCCACGCATATATCGAGTCCCAGCATCGATCTGGTCGATGAAGTGCTGCTGGCCAGCTGCATTCTTCGCATACGTCCCTGGATTGTGCGTCATTTGATGCGTCCGCTGCAGGAGGGTCTCATTGCGAATCGATTTCTGTTCAAGAAGCTGGCCAAAATGCTGGCCAACAATATTGTGCTGGTCAATCCGTATGCCAGCGAGCGGCAGATCAAGCAGGTCGTCGAATCCATGTTCTGCATTCAGCCGAGAGGTGTTCAAAATATCATTGATTTGGAATCTTTGCCTCCAGTTTTTGTGGAGAGATTTCAAACTTGAAAAGTCAATTCAAATTTTGATTTCAGATCGAATTTAAAAATTAATGCATAAGGATCTTTGAGAAATATCTAAGGGAAGCACAAATTCAGCTCGTTCGATTGGAAATATTGGGATTATCGCTGTTTTGTGTTCCTATTGATTGTAATATTCTATATAAGCAATAAAGTTATAAACTAGAAGTCTCAAACTAATATTAGATGATTATCTGATAGAATCAATCTGTATTATAAACCAAAATAACACTAACAATTATTTATGGTTTTGTTTAAATTATAATTAATTCAATGATTACAATAATTTTTTTTCTGCACATCTCTGTTCAATTGTTTTGTTTTTTTTTTTGTGTTTTTTTTTATAATTATATAAATTTTAATATATTTAATAAACGATACATGTAATATAGTTTTTGACGAAATTGCGGCTGCTGCTGCGACGGCGGCTGCGGTTGCTTTTCTTCTTGTTGTTGTTGTTGTTACTCTTACGGCTGTGTTTGTTGTTGATGTTGTTGTTGTAGTTGCTGCTGTTGTGTTGATTGTTAATGTGGTTTTGTTGTTTGCTATTGTGGTTGGTATTGTGTTGAAGTTGTTGTTGCTATTGGCATATTGCTGTTTTTACTTAGTTTACAGCAGCTACAACAGACAGCTGCTGCTACTCTTGTTGTTCTTGTTGTTGTTGTGGTTCTTGCTGTATTTGTTTTTGTTGTTGTTGTTGCTACTGTTGCTCTTGAATAGCAACTGAGACACTACCTAGTATCGGGTATTTGATTTGTGTTTGACGCCGAATTTGCATTTTGTTGTTTGTATTTTTGTTGCTGCTGCTGCTGCGAGCCAGTGGCAGTCTCTGCTAGCTGTGGCCGGCCACGCCTCTCGATGCCACCTCGATCAGCTGCTATTGGCCTGCCGCCAGCAACGCCAGCACTTGCTGCTGCACCACCTCCTACTCCTCCTCCAAGACCTACTCCTGCACCCATACCTCCACCACCACCTGGTGTTGGTGCTGTGCCGCCACTCGTTTGTGTTGTTGCTGTTGTGTTGTTGGCTTTCTTGTTTTTGTAGCGATACTCATCGCACACGAAATCCTCCGGCGACGTCTGTTGCATTTGATTCACCTGTCGTACCACAGCACGTTGCTGCTGTTGCTGCTGTAGCTGCTGTTGCTGCTCATCTGCATTGTTATTGAGCAGCGTTTCCTGTTCCTCCTGCTGCTGCTGGCTGCTATCGCCACCATTTTGCTCCTTATTTACATTATCACTCTTGACCAAACAATCGTCGTCCTCATCATTGCTCGCATTCAAGTCCAGCTCCTCCGTGCAGAGCAGCGATAGCAACAGCGACTGCACAAACATCGAACTGTTGTCAAAACAGAAATTTAAATAATTATTGTTTGTCTGCTTTATTTTTTATGTTCATCTAAAATATAAACATTAGCTTGAATTTTAATAATTTCAGTTGGCCTTTTTAGCAATTTTATGTAATTAAACTTAAGGCACTTCAAAAAAAGCATCTTCAAATGCAATTAAAAGCTATACAGAAATTCATTTCATTTCAAGTGACAATTTTTAAAATAATATTTTTTTTTAGCTTATTAGCAATTAAGAAAAATAAAAAATATACTATTTAGATTATAAGATTATTATATATATATACATATATATTTGTGTATGCTTACCGATCGGCGCGTTTGCGCTCAACATCCGCCCATTCGGCATCGGTTAGCGTGGGCTGCATAAATTTGGCCAGCAAGTACTGCGATTGCGATGACTCGCCGCCAGCTGCAGCTTGGCCGCCGCCAGCTGGGCCAGACATGATGCCAGCAGCACTGCCGTTGCCGCTGCCGCCATTGGCCGTTGGTGCGCAACCAGGACCGACACTAATGCCGAGCGCATTATTGCTACCGCTGCCGCTGCCAATGCAACTATTGCCGACCGCCTGCGTTGTGGACGACGACAGAAGAAATGGAAACGTCAAATTAATCTGATGCATAATGTGAATTGTGAAGAGGTTTTTACTTCTCTGGCGTTGAGTGTTGTGGCGGCCAGGCTGCTCGACTGCGTCTGCTGTTGATGGTTGCTGGCCGATGAGAAGCTCGCCCCCACCGGCCATTCGGTGGTGCGCAGATTAGGCGGTGCACTCACACCACTGGCACCACTCATGCCACCGCTGCCAACTGCACCGCTGCTGCCGCCGCCGCCGCTAATCACTTCGGCCATGGTGGCATTCGAATTCGATGTTGAGACTATGGGATGCGTGCGTCTTGGCAGCCGATCAATTTGGCGCGTTGCCTAAAATAATAAATACGGTTCGTTACACGTTAAACACTAAACAAAGCAATTCGCCTATTTGTATATCTAGAGAATTTTTCCCTTATATACACAATGATCATAAAGTGAAAACAAACCGTGGCCTGTTGCCGATCCATTTGCATTTGCATTTGCAATTGTTGCAATTGCGATGTTGGTGGAACGCCACGTCTAACGCCGGACAGCTGTGAAAGCAGCTCAGCAATGGGATCGACAGATTCACGGCCCGATGGCGACAAGGCCGAGAGACCGCTCGACGAGCTAAAGTGCATATTGGAGCGACGTGTTCGCGGACCGCCCAAAGTGCGTCCAGGTATGCGACGCACTCCACCGCCATGGCGTATGGCCGAGGGCTCGTCGTATTGTCTAAGGGTTAAGGCAACCATTTAATTAAGATCCATTTACGAATTATTTTATCCGATATGCATATGCTATAAAGAAAGTCATTTCCTTTTAATGCACTTCTCAAAGTAAATAAACCAATGCCAATTTGTAAAATTGCCAAGATTTTGTGTGAAGTGAGAAAATAAAATCATCTTTCTGCATAAATAAATTATAAGTCTAAACGATTTATGAATGCATGTACTATATACAAGAATACCTTTGTTAGTTGTATATATATACTGCAAATAAATGAACTTTCTATATCTGTGGTCTTAACCGACTTTAAGATGGTACATGCGTCAAATGAGTGGAAATCTAATAGTTAAAACAAATCTTGGCCTGAAATATACGTCTATATTATACTGATCTTTGTCGAAATGCCCTCAATTTTGCTTCTTATTTCTTTCTATATTGTTTTCTACTTAAAATTGTTTAAGGACTATTTTACTTATAAGTCTTTAGCTGATTACTCTGAGCTGTCAATCGTTAGAATGGAATTATAAATAATTTATAGATTATTTTGTTTTGCAAAAAGGATATCAGAAATGAGATTAGCTCTCGTGGTCCTTGCCGATGCTCCAATGTTAGATGACCAGCAAAATCATCTGTGACTAGATTCGGCTCACCGCCCGGCAATCCGGCACAAACGGGACAGACCACCTCCAGGCTGGTTTCCGTGTGCTCAGCGGAGACATGCTCCAACAAGGTGGCATCACTGAATCCCATCTTTTTGCAATAAGGACACGTAAATGATTGCGGCTGATCCGTTGTTAGCATCTCGCCGCCAAAATACAATTCGATATCGGAACGGGTGAGAATGCATTGCATTGGATGCTCGACCAAGTGACGAGTGGAGGTGACGCCATCCTCATAGCAATCGGCGCATAGATCATAATCATAACAGATTAAACACTTATAGCGACGTCCACTGAAGTTACTTTTTAGACATGAATCGCAGCTCACACCTAAGTAAACGAAAAAAAAAATATATCATTCAAAATTAAATATATTTCGGCACAAAGGCATGAATGATTGTGAGGAAGAGGAAGAGACGGACAGAGAGAGAATGAAGAGAGAAAGGGAGAGTTACCTTCATGACGACTCATTATTTAGCAGCAGCAGCGGCAGAGTCAGCAGCAGCAGCGACGTCTTCACGTCCACTCGTCGATAGGCGCCGTTCCCCCTTCCCTTTTTAGCGGTGCACTCTTCCGAATATTTCGTTTTGATTTTATTTCAATGAACTTTCGACTGAGCTTTCAGTTTATTTTCGATTTTTCTACTTTTTGTTTTATTTTCTTCTTTTTATTTGTATGTGCTGGAGATTTCTATGTACACATGTGTAGTAGAATGCAAAGGAGCTACAAGGCGAAATGAGAGAAAAAAAAGAGAGGTTTACAACAATCACCGAATGTAAACAGATGACAACAAAGGAAAAACGGCGAAATTAAGTAACAAGCCAACACGCACACATATATATATACACACACGCACACAAGCGAAGCCCGCCCTCGCAGATGCAACATTTTTTCATTTTCTTTTCGATTTTCTTTTCACCTTTCTTTGCACAGCACACAGAAGACGATTACGGTTCTTTCGTTTTGGTGTTACCTTTCGCGTTTGCCGTCCGAAAATGAAATGAAATAGAAACAGGCAAAAGGTATAAATCGCACACACACACACACACTCACGCACACTCTTCCTCCTGCACCCCAGCTCTTACGTCTTGTCTTGCATTAGCAGCAGCACGCACTACCACAAGCATGACAGAGAGCGAGCAACCAAAATTTTTCAATACATTAGCGAAATCAAAGGCAAACGGTTTGGGTACGAATAAAGACCATTAACACAATGCACAATAATATTTAAGTACAATATATTATGTATTTTAACCATGCACAGTAAACATTTATTTTTAACTTTTTCGTTTCGCGAAAATTTTCAACTCATTCGACCCGTCCGTCGTCGTCGTCGTGTGCTTTTGTGTGTCGCTGCGCTGCTCGCCACCCCTCCCCCTTCCCCTTACACCAACTAAACCTCCTGCTGTGTGCAGAGTGCTGCCACATTTTGCCACAAAATGTTGGTGCAATGGCCACATGTACAAATACAAAAACACAACGGCTGCTGATTCAGAGATCGTATAAACTAATTGTTTATAAACAATTTGCACACCTTTAGTGTCTACTTTTTTTTCCAACAATATGTATTGTTGAATCAGCTTTTCACAATGGCGTTGCCACACTGCGAGATAATGTGGCAACTCTAAATCGCGAATTCATAAGCTTTTCACAATTGTTCGTCACACGATACAATGCTCGACATCAGAATAGGAACTGTGAACTTAAAGCGCATGACCCACCAAGCTGATTGGCAGCTGATAAACACACTTCAGCCATTAAGTCACTAGCAATGAAGCTCTTTGCGAAATGTTGCATTTGTGGCAGGGGAGGTGGGTTGCGTTTTTTTTTTTTATTTTTTAGGCATGTGCAATTAAACGACGAGAATTTTTATATGTTAAGAAATTATAATACTTTATATTTTCTGCTTGGTGTGCTGCAGCTCGTTAAATAACAATGACATTTTACACACATTTGTCGTTTGTTCTGCAGTCATATTTAATTTGGCATGGCACTATTTATAAGCTTTTGCGTTTTTCTTAATTTCGACGGCGCGTAATTATGGTACATTCATCTTTAAATATATGCATGTAAACTTGTGTGTGTGTATGTGTATGATATACACATGGGATCTACGCAATTCACAATGATTTGAGCAGAAATCTTTGTTCGCCGCGAATTTTCATTGTGCCCACATAAAAATAAGTTGCTTTATTGGTGTACATTTTTTTCTTCCTTTTTTGTTGTTTCTATTGCACTTTGTGTGGCAAATTCGCCTTACATATTGACGAATGCAAGTATATATGCATGCGTATATATACGTGTGTATGTATTTTTAACACGTTCCCTTTTTCTTTTATTGTTTATTGCGCTGGCACATGTTTAAGCACTAGTTTGATGGGAGCACATACATGTAATTTATTGTGCTGCGACATTAACTAATTATTTATTTACTATTTATTTAAATAAAACACTATAATTGAAACGAAATTAAGTTATGTCGAGTTGAAAGCTTTCCCCGACTACAGCTTCAGTGTGGCCATATTGCGACAAAGCACAAATGACAAATAATATAAAATCTCGTCAATCGCCACTTTCCCACCCCTATCGCAATTAAATTATTCTGCTTGTTTTTCTTACATTTATTTTGCTTTTACAATTATATCTCAATCTTCTAATTTCTCGGGCGGCGGACCACAGGGCTGCAGCATGCGCTCCATTAGATTAAAGCGTACACGCGCCTTCGATTCATTCTCGGCGATGGCAAAATAGTTGAGCATATCATAGTGTCCCATATAGCTGGCCAGTGAGTCGCGATGTTGATTTGTAAGCCACTCAAATTTAGTGGTGTCCGCGTGTCCCGTTCCAATATATTTGCTCTGCAGATGCTCCAATTGACTGTGAATATTATAGCGTTCACCCATTTTCTTTGATAAATATTACACTTTCGCAGGGGAAAAACAACGCTTGTTTGTTGTGCTATCTTTTTCAGCACTGAACTAGTTCAATGGAACAAAACGCAAAAGTGAGACACGGCACTCTTTACAGTAGTTAACTACACTGTAAACAGGTAGAATAGTAGTGCAAACTTGTTTGTAAATAGTTTGGTATTTAATTTAATAATTTGGCGAATATATTACGATTAATTGACATAAATGAGAGAAGTGCTTGCTACCGTTAAGTGCTTATTCAACCATTGAACTACATCTTTTGAATTGAGCGCAAAAGTGATACGACCAGTGTGAACAGCGTCTTAGCTACTTACTGTTAACAGCAAAATGTGCGGGCGAACTTGTCTGTGAGTAGTTTCTGAACTATTTGAAATATTAATTGTATAATTAAATGCACTTTCGCACAGAACACTTGACCCCGATCAGGTCCTATGCGCCTGCAAGTACCCCAAGAAGATCAAGAATATCAAAAAGGAGAAGGAGGTGGATGAGAAGGAGGATATCAAACAGGAATATGAGACGCCCGAATGGCGGGCGGAGTTCAATTTGGGACGACGCTATCAAGCCTCCTACAATATAGCGCCCACGGATATAACACCCGTCATGTAAATGGATCTATAACTGATATTACAATAAATATTTTGTAAATATATTATGCTCGGCAGTGTCTCGGCGGCGCACTTCTCAGAGGCTGAGGATCACAGAACCGCACGCATTGTTGTGCCGATGATGTGGGGCATGATTCCTGCTTGGCATAAGGGCGACTATCGCAGGCATGGCCTCACCACGAACAACTGTCGGTTGGAGCGCTTGATGGACTCCAAGCTGTACCGCGGACCCTTCAAGCGCGGCCAACGCTGTGTGGTCATCTGCGAGGGCTTCTACGAATGGCAGACGACAAAGCAGCAGGCCAAAGCGTCTGAGCGGGATGCCTATTTGATCTATGTGCCACAGGAGTCGGATGTGAAGATCTATGACAAGAGCACCTGGTCTCCATCAAATGTCAAACTGCTGCGCATGGCGGGCTTGTTCGATGTGTGGCAGGACGAGGAAAGTGGCGATAAAATGTACAGCTACAGTATCATCACATTCGAGTCCAGCAAGATCATGTCCTGGATGCACTATCGCATGCCAGCGATCCTTGAAACGGAACAGCAAATGAATGTGCGTCAGCCCCGGATTACTGAATCAGTTGCTGCCTGCTAATTATGCATAGATACTAAAATATTGTTTCCTTGCAGGATTGGCTGGATTTTAAGCGCGTGAGCGACTCGCAGGCTTTGGCTGCACTGCGTCCGGCTACGGCTCTGGAGTGGCATCGTGTCACCAAATTGGTGAACAACTCGCGCAACAAGAGCGAGGCATGCAACAAGCCACTTGAGTCAACAGCTGCCAAGCCGGAAAAGCCAAAGGGCATGTTGGCTTGGCTAACGGGCCACAAGTCAAATGTGCAGCAAAACGAATCCAAGTGCAGCGTTCAAGATCAGCACTCGCAAGTCGTCAAGCGCAGCTCCACCTCACCGATAACTGAGAGCCAAGTTGCCAAGCGGCGCAAGAGCGACGATATCAAGATCAAGTCGGAGTCGGAGAATGGCTGATTCTATTATTAAAGTTAACAAAACTAAACTAAAATTGAAAAGTTTATTTTTTTTATAGTATTTAAAATTTATTTGCATTAAAAACCAAAAGATTTTGTTCTCATTACCCAAATCTATGATATAAGTTTGTATATAGCGTTGAATAAGCTTAATTACAAAGGCTTAGCATATAAAAATTGATTTAAATTTGTTTCGGTTTCTGTTCTTGTTTGCTATACGCTTTATTTACTAATTTTATGTTAAAACTATCAATGTTATATGGAAATACATATGTATATGTATGTATGCGTGTATATATATGTGTGTGTGTGTAATACGTAAATTTGAAAATGTCAACGTTATTGGAGCCGCGACTGTCAGCAAAGCCTCCGTTAAAGTGCAGCTTGCAGTTTTCACATTTATTCGCAAGCCATAAAAACCCAAAATGAAGCAATATTTGTTGCACTTGAACTGTTTTTACTGCATGCAACAACAAAAAAATTAGCAACAATAACATCAGCAAATTGGTGTCAATGTTGTGCAGTGCGGCGAGCGAATTGAGTGGAAGGCGGACCAGAAGAGAAATGAGAGCGAGTGAGAGCAAAGAATTCTGCATGTGTGGGTGTGCAAGTGCTTACAATTAGAATTGTTGTTTATTAGTCTAGGAATTACACATGTAAGTATTTTTGTTGTCGTTTATTTTTACATATGTAAAAGTTGTGTTCTTTTCGCCGTTAATGAACTTTGAATATTTGCATTAATGGACCTGTGTTGTGATTTACACATGCACAATCCAAATACTTTTTGCACTGCTTGGCAGAAAGCAGAGACAGAGATGTCTCTGTGTGTGTGTGTGCGGATTAGCGGCTTTTACAAAGTGGAAGAGGCGAGCAATGATATCGATATCGAGAACGTGTTCGGTACGTGACTACCGTTATGTACTTAAGTGCCTATTTACGAGATTACACTTTTTCGCATTATATCTGACTTTGCACACAATATACATATATATATACTGTATACTGGCTAAAATATTTCAACAATTTTGTAGAAAATGTTTTTCTTTTTTTTCCCATTTTTTTTTTTTATATAGATTGCACTTGAAAGAAAACAAAATTAAAAACTGAGTTGGAGATGGGAACGTGTCTAAATTAGAGCATCATCTATAAAATAAATACAAATATTTAATGTTTAAATAAGACTGAGAAACAAATTAATGTAAATTAGGTTTGCTTTTAAACTTAATTTATGCAAGTCTACTAAAAGTGTGACATTTTGCTGCTTTTCGTGTGACACGCGCTCATCTCTAACCGAGAGTCAAGACTGAGTGGGTGGGAGGGGGAGAGACAGAGAGAGAGAGAGGGAGAATGTGAGTGAAGTTGTTGCAATTGAGAGCAATTTGCAATTACTCAAATTGTGTGCTAAACATATTTATGTTCAGATCCTCGAATGTTGCTGTGCCGCTGTGATCGAGCATTTGGAGCATTTCGGAGAACTCCTGCGGCTGTTGTGCCCCGCCAGCGCCGTGCGGATGCGGATGATGTGCTGCTGCATGCGGATGCGGATGTGGGTGGGGGTGCGGATGCGGATGAGCCGGATGTGTGGCACCAGCATTCTGCCAGTCGCCCCAAGGTGTGGCAGCTGGCGCCGCCTGATAAGCAGCAGCCTGTTGGCGTTGCTGCTGCTGTTGTTGTTGGTTGCTGCCCGCACTCAGCTGGGTGTAGGTTGGTCCGCTCGGCGAGCGGGCAGGACTGCTTTGCTGATAGGCTGGATAGGCCTCGGTTGGACCCGTTGGCTGCTGCTGTTGTTGTTGTTGTGGCTGCTGTTGCTGCTGCGGCGTCGGACGCAGTGCCACGCCCCAAGCATTTGGCGTGGGTGAACTGCCCGATTTGGGTATTTTGGCCAGGGGCGACGGTGCCGCAGCGCCATACGGCGAATGTGTGGCATCGTAGCTGTAGCCCACCGGCGAAGCGGGACGTGGCGGCGGCGGCGGCGCCTGCATGTGCAGCTGATAGATGCCGCCATCGCCGCCGGTTGGGGTAATCTCTCGCCTCGGCGGCTGCAGCGTATAATCCACACCCGGCGCCTGGACATAGACATGTTGTTGCTGCTGCTGCTGCTGTTGTTGCTGCTGTTCCGTCTGCTGTTGCTGCTGCTGTTCGGGTGTGGCACCGTGGAGTGTCTTGCCGGAGCTATTCGTGCAGACGATGTACTCCACCTCGTCCGTGTAGGGATTGAGGAAGGCATACGCCTGGGTGCGCAACCAAACATATTCCGAGTTCTTGGCGCGAACGCGATACAGAAGCGAAAACATTTGTCCCTTCTGCTTGAGCACCTGATCGAAGCTCTCCTTCATGTGGCTCTGATCCTCGGGATGGAAGAAATCGTAGCATATCTTGCCGAGCAGCTCCGTCGGTGTATAGCCCAGGATGTGGAGCACCCGTTGATCGACGAACGTGAATTTGCCATCGAAAGCGTGTCGTGTGATGAACTCGCTCTGATTATTGCTTCCGCTCATATCGTTGGCTGCCGTCGAGGTGACCTGGAGTCGGCCAATTGCCACCAGGCAGCAATGGGAGGCCATGTCATCCACGTCGCGATCCATGTGCACATTGGGAAACATATCCGTTGGTGGCCAGTTCTTAATATACCCGGTGCAATGGACGACGGCATAGTTGGAGCCATCTCTCGATGGACCCAATGAATTGCGCTGCTTCAGGCGATTCAAATGGCCAGAGACCATGGCATCGGGATTAACGTTGCCGACACGCATCCGGCAGATGAAACCACGACGGGCGCCCATGCTGAGACGCATGCTCGACTGATGACCCTCCTTTTTTACCGTGCCCGACTTCAAATCCAAGATGCGACCAGCATTCTGTGACTCCTGCGTGGACAGCTGCTCCCTGATCTTATCCCTATCATCCGGATGGATGTGCTCATACAAACTGGTGCCATACCAATCGCTCTGCGTATAATTCAACACTGGCGTCACCGAATCCGACACGTAAATCACACGACCCGAATCGCACGAGACAACATAGAGAAATCCGTCGGCTGCTTCTAGAATTAAATGCTTCAGTTCCTGATCGGTTAGAAAGCTGGGCTTGTAGGTGCCATCACTGCTCGTATTGCCAGTGCCACGAAGCGCCTTCATGTGGGCCACAGCCATCCGGAGTATGGTCAACTTGTCCGGTTTGCGGGCCAAGGCGCTGCATGTGGGCACCATGTCCGATAGTTCCGTTATGTAGGCAGTCATCTTGTTGCGACGTCGTCTCTCAATCTCACAGTGATTCTCGCGACTAGCAAAGCGCTCCTTGTCCTGTATGTTGGCATCGTCCATGATCCGAATACTTAATTAATCGACTCTTTCACTCCCACTACTTCTACTTCTATATGTGTGTGTGTGTGCTCGTGTGCGTGTGTATGTTGCTGTGAGTACTTCTCTTTAATTTGCTTTGCTTGGCAGTTCGCTTTCTTTATTTGGGTCGCTTTGCCGCGCACTGTTCCCAAAAAAAGTGATTTCGTCGTTTTCTGTGTGAGGGAGGGTTCTTTCTTCTTCTTCTCTTTCGTTTTTTGTAGTAGTATTTTGTCTACGTGTATGTGTGTATATGTGTGTGTATACACTGTATACGAGTGTGTGTATAGCCAGAGTCTTCGGGTAGCGAGCACAAATACACAAATTTTCACATTTTTATTCAATTTCACAACTTTAGTCGGTATTTCACTAGATATTTGTTTGCCGTTTTCGATTTATGGTTTTTGAATATTTGTTTGGTAATTTCGAAGAATTTTCTTCCACGAATTGCACACACACGATAAAATCTGAAACTGTTTACTGTGCACAGTGTGACCGTTGCAGTAGTAAAATACCAACTAGTGCACATACATATGGTATCGATGCAATGTCGCACGTTGCCAGACTGGCAAATGTGGTACTCTTCTGTGATATATCGACGCTTACGATAAGAATCTTAAGATATCGATTTACTATTGTAAATCGATGACGTTAAAGCTTCAAAATTCAGACTGTTATTTTTTGGGAAATAAAAAATGCATACGAATTCAAATGTTCTGGTGTAGTATTTAATGTTATTACAGCATTGCGTCTTGTCTTACATATATCATATATGATTTCATAAATACATTTACATTTTTAATCATAACTAGGCATTCTTCCATTTCTGACAAATTTAGAAATAGGACAGTTTTTTCTTTTAAAATTAAAATTAATTATCAGTAGTGGCAATAACATATGTATGCATCTGCATTCCATTCGGATTCAATTTCAATTCTTATAACAAAAATAGTTAGGCAGCCTTACGCTGCAATTAGCATAATCCTTTGTATTTTTATTTTTTATTTTCATTGCAATAAAATACAATCTTAGGTAAGGTTTATATTTGTTCTGGCTTTGTTTTGTTTGTCTGTTGTTTGTTAATTAATTATTGGCAATTTACTAACTGCATGTTTTCGTTTACTTCTCGACGGCTATAGTTCATATTCATTTCGTTTTCAATATTTAATTCAAGCAAAGTCTTTTGTTCTATGTAGGCTTATTGTTTAAAACTGTGCATTACTTAATTGTAGATATTTCAAAATGCGTCTCTTTAAAATTGCATAGAGTGCGTTGTTTATTTTATTTTTTTTTTTTAATTATTCCTTCGAGTGAAATCGTTTTTATATATTAAACTTCAGCATAATTCGTTGACTAGAAATTAACTTAAGTACTTAAAATTAAACTTATTTATGATAATTTTTTTCTATTTTGGTGCAAAATGAATTAGCTGAACAACATTATCCTTAACATTTTGTGCTTAAAATAGTTTCATTTTCTTTTGGTGTTTTTTTTTGTGTGTATGGTTTTTTTTCTTTTTGTGAATAGTCAAACATTTTGTTAATAATTTTAAGTTGACGGCAGAGTTTTGGTTTCTCTATATACTATGTGTTCATTCCACTTATTATATATTCATTGTGCATTTTATATAGTTGCTGCAAGCTTAAACAAAATTTTCCATATATTCCTAAACAATTTCATAATACAATCCAAAACATTTAGCACCAAAATGATTTAAATACGCCAAATAAAAAATATAATATATTATTGAGTTCAGTTTTAGTTTCATTTTTTTGCACAAGGATTTTTGAATTTTTGACATTTTAGAAAATCGATTAAAATTTGCAACAACTTTCTTCAAATGTGAAATGTAATTAAGAGCTATACAAAAATACTTTGGTTTTTATATGTGTAACATCGCAAGTGAATTCTTATAAAAAAATTAAATATATAATTAAATCAATCATTGAATTGAATTGAACAAATCTTTTGGCATGTCGCCGTAGCACTTAGCAATAAAATCACAAAAAAATTAAACATACTAAATACTATTTATATATTTAGAGCTAAAGTTAAACATAAATAAAGTCATAGTGTCTTTTTCTTCATTGAGTGTTCAACTAGTTTGTTTTAGTTTTTTTTTTTAATATTTTTTTTTTATACTTTTTAGACTGTTTTCTTTTTTTAGTTCTTTGCAAAAATATTGACATCAGCTATCAGCTAATTGTTTCAGGTTGGATTTCTTTTAGTCCACTGTAAAAACTAGTTTGCTAATACAAAGCAGTTGTCTAAAAAAAATTCATTGTGATGAATTTGTGATGATATCTCTCTTTGCGCCTTGTTATAAAAACTCATGCTCAAAATATTCTTTGCAGTTTTTTTTTTTTTTGTTTGCTTTTTTGTTAGTGTTGCTTAATTCGATTGCGAGTTGAAAGTTAAAGTTGTAGACGTTATTGTAGGATTATTTTGGTTGGTTGCCTACGTGGTGTAGGTGCGGATAACATCGCGTATAACCGCTCGACACAGAGGACACTGACCGCCGCCAACGCCGCGCCACTGCTCGATGGCGCAGTCGTAGCACATGCACATATGTCCACACATATACAGCACCGAGTCAATGGGATTCTCGTAGCAAATGGTGCACTCGGCACTCGAATCTGTGCTCTGTTGATCGCTGAGGCTGTCCTTCCACTTGCTGCCGTTCAGCGTGCTCGTACTTTGGGCAATGGGCTGCAAAAGAAATCAATCAGATAATGAGTTTAAAGCTAGTTACGAATTTAATAAAACTAATCACACTCTAAATGGAAATAGCACACTTAAAGCACTACACTTTCTGAATTCTACAAATATTATTATATTATATTCAAAATGCTGCCGCAGCCAACTTAACAGCGCGCCTGATAATTTTAAGTGTTGCCAGACAGTTTGAGTGCGATCAATTTAAAATTTTAACGTCTGCAGCCAAATTAACAACGCCCGCGCAATGCTTAAGTGTTGCCAGATAGTGGAAGCAATTTAAAATGTTGATTTGAAATTTAAGCAAATTTAATTCAGACTTTTGAATAACTCACCTCAATATATTGCTGACTGCTGGTGGTGCTGATCAATGTGCCGCTGGAGCAGGCGCCAGCGAGAATGCCGCTGCTGCTGATCGTGGCAGCTGTGGCTGCTGGGCGCTGCTGTGCCGCCGCCGTCAGCTGTCCATTGAGATCATGCGAGCTGTTGGCCGGCGGCAGATTGACGACGAGAACGGTGCCGCCACCATTTGGCTGGATCTGCAGTATGTCACCATTGGAGGGCATGCTGATCATCCGACTGCCGCCATTGCCAGTGCCGCCAGCTGAGGCCAAAGTGTTGCTGCTGTTGGATTGAGCGACACTCAGTTGCATTTTGGTGGCGGCGCCGAGCAGTTGGCCAGCATTCAGGCTGCTCAACGATTCGGTCAGCAGACGCGAGCCGGAGGCAGTTGCAGCAGCGATAGCTGTTGCCGAGCTGGCCGCACTAATCTGTGGCTGCGACGGATAGGCCACCATATTGGGCAGCTGCTGGCGGAACATGCGCAACGATTGCGTCGAGCCGTAAACATCGAGGAACGCCCACAGCTGGAGCGATTGATCCACATGCATGACGACGACAGCGGGGCCATTGTTCTTGCTGATGCTCACCTCACCGTTGGGCGCCACAAAGAAGGCGATCTCATCGCCACGTTGCGGCGCCGCCGCAATATCCTTGCTGACCACCCAATACTCCGGCCGATCCAGCAGAAAGTCCGAATCATTGGGCAAATCATTCGGCTGCAACAAGGCCGGATTGCATGACGTTAGTCCCAGGGCCAGAGCACCAACATACATCTGCTCCGTTTTGAGCACCTGCACGATGAGCTTCTCGCCAATCCGGATGGGCCGAGCCGTGAACACATAGCCCTGACAAAAGTCAGACTCGGTGCGCGAGGCCACAAAACGATCGTGGGACAAACGCACATTGCGCCCCTTTGTTATGTGGAAGGGAACGGGGATGAGGCGGCCGTTGCAATTGTAGCGCAACGGGGGCAAACCATTCGCCAGATCGTGCTCCACAATGTGGGCGGGTGTTGAGGTGTTGCTGCCACCGACGTTGCCGTTGCCAGCTAAATGCAGCGATTGCATCGATGGCATCACATGACGTTCCAGCTCATGATCGGGCAGCGAGCGACGCGATTGTTGTGCAGCAGACAGTTGTTGTTGCTGCTGCAACTGTTGCTGTTGCTGCTGTTGCAATTGTTGCTGCTGCTGCTGTTGCTGCTGTTGATACACGTAAATGCGTGCGTCCAAAAACTCAATGCCGGTGCAATTGCCATAGACATCGATGACTGTCCAGAGCATGCCGCGCGTGTCGATGCCAGACAAAATGACGCCCTTCTCCTCGGTGTTGATGCCATAGATGACGTCGCCGGCATTGTTCACATAATAGTACAATATGTTGTCCTTTTCGCAGTACTGTTCGTGCAGCGCTTTTGCCCAGAAGCCCGGTCGGTTTGTTAGATCGGGACACGCGTATTTGGGCAGGCCACCTTCCAGCGTTGCCGGATCGTTGCTGGTGAAACCGAAACGAATGCCGCCATTCCAATTGTTCGAAATCTCCGCAAACTTCACGCAAATTCTCTCATTGATGCGCACCGGCCGAGCCGAGAACGTGATTGCACGGCAAAAGCTCTCGAAGCGACGCGCCAGCGTACCATCCCTGGAGATGCGTATATTATCACCATGTACCGTATGAAATTGCAGGGGTGGCAAATTATTCGGACCCGGGCAGGAGGAGGGCGAACGGCGAACTGTAAAATGCAAGAGAACCGAAAATAGTTCAATGAGTAAAAGCAAATAGGACTCAAGCAAGAGAGAGAAAGATAGAGAGACAGCTTAAAGCTTTTTTGGAGTAACAGTTAAACAATTAACATAAAACTGTAAGGCTGTTAAGCTGTTAGAAAACAGGAACATTTTTTAACAGTCACTGTTAATGAAAATTGTACATAATATAATATATATATTAATGAAAAATAAATTAAATGAAAAATAAAGTTTAATATTTAAATTTAAAAAAAATAAATAATTAAAATATTTATAATTGAGCAGCATTTCTTACTTTTGCCTAACTGCAACTGAATACTATTCATATTAATCTGTTTCAATCTAATTAAAAATCAGGAAACGTAGTCAAACCATACTTGAACTCAGCTCATGAACCTTCCTTGACAATTCAAGAAATTGCTCAGCTCTTTGAAATACCTTTCTATGGAAGACTGTTGAACTGTTGCACTTGAATGCTTCCAAGAAATTCATGTGGCAACAGCTGCCATACATCAAAAAAAGTCAGGTTGATCGACATTTTGATATTTCCAAATTATTGTCGTCAAAATCATCATAAAAAAAGATACATTGAGAGTTCAATAATCTAAGCCCAGATCATCAAAGTCACGTGCTCTTAGGGGTACCCAAAAAAAGAAAGTGAAAATCCATGTTGAAAGGGGTTAATGCCTTCTGTCTGTCTCAATATTCAGCTAAGAGCATGTAATATGAGAACTAGCACATGGCTTAGGAATCCGTACGCTTCGTTGGATTTCTCGACTGTATATATATATATATATATATATATCAGTGTGTGTTTGATGGCTACCTGCGTGAAAAACTATGTATTTTCTTTTGAACTATGTGTAACTCAAAACTGAGCCGCTGAGCTGAACTGAAATTGTAGCTGCTGCTTAAGTTAGACAAGAATTTGCAAGATCTTATTTTAAGTGTATATCGAATCATTTGAAGATTTATGATAACCATTCGGTTTAAATTGTGTTGTCATTTATTATGTTAGTAGTAAATTGAAAAGCTTGTAAATCTGCCTGAATAAGAAGTTACATTATTTTAAATCAAATGCTTAAGAAGATAAAAGATAAAAGCCTAAACATTTAATCAAAGTAATTAAATAAGATAAGATTAAATAAGTAAGATTAATGACAAATCGAATATATAAAAGAACTCATTTAAATACAAATTCGAATATCATAATTCAATAGAAATATATCTTAAGTTAACTAGAAATGAAAAGCAACACAATTTAAGATAAGTAAGAAAAAGTTGGCACATAAAGACTAAAAGTTTTTGGATTTTATTAAATGATCAGACTTATTATTTTTATAAATTGAATTTTATATTGGATAAAGATAAGTTGTCCAGCTGGTATAATGCAAGTAGCCCCGATCTTAAGTTTAATATTAAATCGAATAATTTGCCGAGGTATTAATGCAATTATTGCACATTTCGAAGATAGTCCTTGGGTGCAAAAGGGCAGCAGCTGTCTGACAATTACGGAAAGTATGCTCAACTTGGTAACGATAATAATTACGAACTGGAACTCAGACGACAGGTTTGTGGCACTTTTTTTTGTATTTTTTCTTTTTCTAGGGGCATATGGAATGCGGCGGCATGCCACACGAGCAGTTGGAGGAGATGGATCAAAGAAGCCAAATGCGACAGCAGGACAACAGAGAGAGAGAGAGAGAGAGACGGAGTCAGGGACAGACGGCAGTCTTGATTACCATGTTGATATGCGGCGCGTGGCAGTGTCTCAGCAATGGGTCACAAAGGCAGACAGACAGACAGCTGGACGGACAGACGGTCGCACAACAGGCGGTTGAACGAAGCAGCGTCTTGAGGAGATCTTTGTGTTCATTATTATTTGAGCAAGGCTGCGGCATGTGGCAGCTGCCCGTGCGCCAAGGCGTTGCCAAGCCGAAAAAGCAGCTGCAGCAAGCAGAGAGCGAGACAGACACTGACTAAGACTGAGACAGGTAAAACAACCCTGTGCATGCGTAGCTACCCTTAGCGCAAACGATCAACAGGGGTTGCTTGCTGGCGACACAAAAGAAGCAAAGATACAAAACAAAAAAACAAAATCGGCAGCTGTTCAAATTTCAAAAACCAAAAAAAAAGCAAGCAACAAAAATTGGAACTGAAAAGGCGTCCTGCGAGAGGGGTTGAAATTCAATGCGCGTGCATTGAACTAACCAAGCAAATAGGGGGTGCAACAGAGCGAGAGAGAAAGAGAGGAGGGTAGACTGCATACAGCAAGAAAATCTGTGGCTGCAACTCAAAAGCAAAAAAAACTGGCTGAGCTAAGTGCGCTGCTTCCGGCCCATCCAGGAAGTCTGCGGCCAAAGGAAGCAGCAACAGCAGCAACAGCAGCTCAGCTTCCGGTTAGCTGACATTAGAATAGAAGAAGAAGAAGAAGAAGCAGCAGCAGCAGCAGCAGAGAGCGAGAGAGAGAGAGAGAAATCGATCGACCCATCAATATTTATGAAATGCCTGCCTGCCTGCAACAAGGAAATCGGAAATCACGTTTTTTTCACAGCTCCACTTTTGCTTCTGTTTCTGTTGCTTCTTCACGATCAGCGTCTGTTTGTGTTTTTTGTGTAATCGTTTACTACGTGTATTGGGGCCTTATTAGCTGCAGGATGTCGCCTGGCGGCATTGGCGACGCCTACTTTTTGCCCAGACAACAACGATCAGACAGACATCAGTTGTTGTCAATGAATTACACATTGAATGAAAATACTCGTCATAAAAAATGTGCGTGTTTTTCTCTTTCGTCTTTTTCTTGTTGTTGTTCTTCTTCTTGCTACTCTGTCTAGCCAATGCTTAAATCAAACGGTTAACGCGCTACGCGTTCATCATTTCAATTAGGCAGCAGCAACAACAACAACAACAACAACAACAACATGCTCAATTAATTAGTAGACGAGCTCTCAGTTCCAAGTGATAAAAGGGGGAGAGATGAGATATGTTTGAGATATGTGTGATTATTGCTGATCGCAGGGTTAGCTGCCTTCCAATGAGCTGCTTTCCAATGCTGTTAAAGAATACACATAACATGCGTGTAGAACTATAACAGCTGTTAAACTAATATTTAATACATAACTCAATTGAATTAAAAGGGGAGCAACAATAATATAATTCAATTTAATTACATTTTTCTCCTATTAAAATATCATCTCTCTTTTTTTTGCAATTTAAGAAATATTTAATTGAAATAAAATTTATAAATTCTTAACAGAGCAAAGTCAACATAACAATGTTAACACATTTAGCAACTTAACATTTGCACTTTATTTTTATTTATTAAGCGGAGGAAAGTAAACTGAAATTGAGTTGAGTTACTTTTGACTATGAAAATATTGCTTAACCTTTCTAGTCATTGGTTCTACTGATCTTAAGATCTCATTTCAACTGTGATTAAATTGATCAAAAGTTATTTATGCTGGACAAGCTACGAGAAGTGGAAATTATGCATTAGACTATTGCATATTTAATTAAATGCCTGTCAGGCATTGCAGCTAAAATCATGATCAACACATTTAATAATGATATTTTGGTTGAATGCAATTAGCTCGTTAGTCCCGTGATTAGCTTTTATCTTGGCCAAAAAACCACAAATTGGCCAATCTCTGAGCGCATTACAATCAATTTAGCTGAAGACAGAGCACAACAAGTTCAGCTTGCTGATGTGCAGTTCCCACACACACATACACACACACACACACACACACACACTCACACACACTCACACACACTCACACACACAAATATAGACGAACCGAAGTGCAAACGAAGAACGATCTGCCAAACGATCGCAGGCAAATTTTCGTACAATTTTGCTTTTTTTTTTTGTTATCTAAAGGAAAAACCTGATTTACCGTTCGTGGCAGACGCGTCTCAAACATTTCCCACGCTGGCCGTGAGCAAAAAAAAAATAAAAATCAAAAAACTAGCAAAACCAAACAACAACAAAATTCCCACGACTCCAAATTTGTATATATGGCAAATATATGTTTATATATAGATATATCTATATATATAGTGGATGCCTGACTATTTTCGGAGGGAAAAACCTGTAACAAACTACAATAATTGCAACTGCAACTGCAAAAGCAACAGCAACAACTGCGATGAGTAAACTTTTGAGACTTTTGCCGCTTGCGGGTGGAAGAAAATAAAAATGGGGAAACAAAAATCATGCAGGTGTCATAAAAATGGCTGAAGTGGCAATCATTTTGGGCAGCTGCCTCACAGATCAATGCTGAAGATCTCAACTCAACTTAACTCGACTCGACTCGACCGTAAATTGATCGTTAGAAATAATTTGGATGCCGAGTTGTGAATCATTAGATTCAAAAATACTTTAACGCTTTTAAGGCATTTCAAGTTGAGCATCAAGTTGAGAGAGCTTCTCATTTTAGCTTTAGAAAATGCCGAAAACGTTGCATTGATCAATTGTTAAGTTGGCCAAGAGGCATTAAAATCAATCTAAGGCAAATTTGCATTTATGCAAGGTTGTTTTCCCATAGTTATTTTTACACATATTTTATTAATATCAATTTCTGTTTGATTAGTTGTCGCCCATAAATGACGTAATTCTGAGCAATTAATAAAGATAAATTAGCGCTGATTCGACGCACATTTCGCAAGCTTTGAATGGGTGTGAGAATTGACATGCCGCGATAAGTGGCAACATTAGCCAGATAAACAGACAGACTGAAATACAGAAAGACAGAAAACAACTCTGCCCCCGCCCACAAATTAAGTTATGCGCTGCCCACGCATTATTTGCGTGTTATTTTTTTCTCTTTCTTTTTACTTCTAACTAATTTTCACTTGTGATAAATGTGTGTGTGTGAGCGTCTGTGTGTGTGTAGGTTGTGGCGTGTGTTAATATGTGGGCTTTTAGTCGTGGACAAGCCTTACAAGTTAAAGCTTAAGCTATTTGGCAGCGAGGCACCCACACGAAATCGAACTCGAACTCGAACTCGAATTTCGAGCTCATTTTGGTTGCTTTGTCATTTGTCAATTGACCGCAAATTGCAGTGGCTGCCAGACGTGGGCCGCTGACCAATTGATACACTTTGTAATCGATCTGGCAACCCCGCTCCGCGCTCTTCTCTTTAATTGTCAAGCGTTTCCGGCATAATTAGGCCTTCACGTTAATTGTTGCCACACGTTCCGCCGAATATTGTGTGGCAGACACACGTGGGCACAACAATGACAACAAGTTACACGGCACGTGACCTATAACCTCATGTTGTTTGAAGAATAAAATAAAAAACAAAACCGGTGCGTAGGCAAAAGGCAGCGACGTGAGTGAGTGAGAGAGAGAGAGGGAGAGAGCTATACAAGTTTGCATTTCAACTTGTTGCTCTTTTCTTGCATGTGTGTGTGTGTGTGTGTAATGCAATAGTGAAGCTTCCGCTGCAGCAACAGCAGCGGAAACTGCGAAAAGCATCAGCCAATTATGCATTTTACATACTCTCACGCTCGCACTCACTTCTCACGCACTCGCTGTCTCGCTCTAACAAAGCACAAATGAGTAAAACGTGCGCGCAAATAAAATATAATAAAAGAAGAAATGGAAAAATAAAATAATAATTGCAGCGATAGCCGAGGGTCGACGAGAGGTCAAAAGTATTGAATGTTGTTGTCGTTGTTGATGTCTGCGGCTATTGCTGTTGCTGCTGGTGTTGTTGTTTTTGCAATGCACTTTTCTTTGCGATTAAGCGAAATATGATGACAGTGCCATGGGATGCAAAACAAAAACTCATTGTGCGTTTGTATGTAAGTAGTGTGTGCGTGTGTGTGTGTTAAAGCAATGACAGTGAAACATTCGCAAACTATAACTGGTACAAACAGAATTCCGTAACTGTTTTGATTTTGCCCACTGTATTTGGGATTTACGCAAAATGCAAAAATTTCCCATTGCGGCAAAATTTCCCCCACCTTGCTGTGGGACATAATTGAGTTACAGTTTAAGGCGCACTGGCTCTTGCAGCGCTCAACTAATAATAATATTGATCGCACCTCGCGAGTTCAATGACTGCCTATGGATATTCTCTCTCATCTATCATTTACACACACACACACAGACACGCATACATCTACAAAAAGTTGTCTTTATATAATTAGGTGCTGCGAGGGTGGCCAAAATGAAATTTACATGGGTTATTTTTACAAGTCGTGCGCTGTTTATGACGCTGAGAGGAGGAGGGGGAGTGTTGGTGTTTTCCATATGTGCACTGAAGCATGCGACCCCAAACCAAGAAGACGACGCAGCAGCGTTGCGCTCAAAATAGCAAGTGAAGAAGCCAAAAAAAACATACAGAAAATGTTTCAGTTGACGGAATATTGTGTATGAAAATAAAGTCTGTATATAAATAAAGATAAGATGGCGACGGACTTTCTTCCGTTCCGTTTTATTTTGTTATAGACAATGTTGTTGTTTATCGAAGCGTTGCAACTGTTGCTATGTATTACACACACACACACACACACACAGACACATACACATGCACATTGCATTTCCTCACACACACACACAAACATGTGAAGAGGCCGGCGCAGTTGACTGCACAGCCAGCGGCGTCTTTACCCCTTCTCTCTCTCTTCACTTCTCTCTATTGCTCTTAAGCTGCTGCCTCTTTTGTGTAATTAAATCACTCAAGCGTTGAGCGCTGCGCTTGACTTAAATTATAGTCGCAGACAACGATAGACAGAGAGAGAGAGAGAGAGAGAGAGGGAGAGAGACAGCTGAAGTGCTTCTTACACATCATTACAAACATTATAAGAATGCAGCGGCAAGCGGATAATAATTCAAGTGGCATTTTATTGTTTTATCACGTATTTATTTCTGGGAATAGCGCTCAATAACTGTACGTGCCCCTCTCTGCTGCTAGGCTCTCTTAAACCACCAACCGCCCTCGCCTTAAGCATTCTTTTGTTCTCTTCATAGATCTACGATTAATTCAAATTAGCTCAGCTAACAAGCTAATATTATGTAAATTTTTATCTATATATAATTTTTTTTAATATTTTCTTCATAATTATGCACAGCTGCGAAAAAAAGCGAAAATCTAGTTTCCACAAACAACAAAAAAATTAACTTTAATGAATATCCAAGCTTAATTTTAATGCAAAATCAGCAGCACAACAAAAAACATGACAGCGAAACAAGAACACGAAACTGAAATAAAAACCGATCGATAAACAGCTGAAGTTTCATAGGTAGCAAAAGCCGAGCAAGTAGAGCAATCTAAGAGTTGATTTATCAGCTCAAACTTGGACTCAAAATCATATTCGGAATCTTAGCTGAGAGCGTGCATGATTGTTGAGAGTTGTTGCCTGCGCTGCCTGGGTTAATTGTTGAGCCCAAAGGCAGCAGCTGGAAACAGACCCGCATCCATCTTTTGTTGCCCCTTCCCTTCCCATTCCTTCCCTTACCTGTCTTGTATATTTTTCAACTGTTGCTGTTGCGACACCCAAGACGCTGTTTTATCTATGGGTATCTATTATCTATGTATCTATTCGCCCAGCAAACTCTGTTAACAGTTTTTCATCGTTGTTTTCCATTGGTTCATTAACTGATAACTGATGACTCGGCAGAGGTAACATGAAACCAATGTAGGTCACTATGATAAAAATAATAATGTAATAGTTGACTGCACTTAACATATAAAAACTTTCAAGTGTGTTTTATAATAAACCAATTTATTTTCCTTTAAGTCGTTGCATTCATCTCCTTTTACCTTTTTACTGGAATGATTAAGGTACATTCCGCAACTAAGCACTCTCTTAAAATGTTTTTACTTATCTACTTTACTAATTTATATAAAATTCCTTGCATTCATGCATCTCTTACTGGAATTTCGGCATGCACTGTGACAGATCCAAGCGCTCTCTTAAAATGTTGCTTACGCTCTTCGTGCATATCTACTTTGTTCTACGATTGAAAGTGCTGCGCTCTCTCGTCACAAATGGCGATCGACATTCGCATTAAGCTCTTATCAGAAACCAAACAAAAACAAAAAACCCCACAATCTATGGGCTTGACCACAATTAGAAAATAAATAGAAAATATCTCACACACGCTTAAATACAAATGTACTTGCAGTGTCCAAAAAACTTTGATGGATGACGCATAACAAAATGACCACAAAATGAGCTCATAGGCAAAATAACCCATAACCAACTGTAAGAGAAGCTACAGCTCTATGTGTGTGCTTGGGGGAGTTTGTGATGAGCAAATATATATATCTATATGTATTTGTGTGAGACATAAGAATGGGAAGAAGCAGAGGTAGCAAATGAAGCCCGCACAATGCATTTGAAATTTGAGCGAAGCTGGCAACGCCAACGACAGCCATCGATCGACGGCGGCGAGCTCAAAAAGTAAACCGTGAGAAGCTCAAGTAAAAGCAACCAGATAAACTTTAGCCAAAGCCGCCTCGCATGCCAACCAACCAGCCAACCAACCAACCAACAGGCAAGAAGCAGAAGACACGACAAACAACAACAGCAGCAACAATAAACTCTGCTAACACAAAATGTAATAGATGGAAAAAACAAAGACAGCAACAACAACAATAAGCAGCTGATTCCAACAAAAACAAAGTAATTTCATTGATTACCGATACGCAGCGCAAATGCCGCACGTACAAAATGAAATGGCGCTCGGCAGCGGGAAGCAAAAAACAGAGTTACCAACACCCGCCCCGCCCCTCCCTTCATCCTTCTACCTAACTCACTTCCAATTCCACTCTGGAAGCTTGTCTTCATTTCTTTTGCTTTGCTTTGCTTTGCCGACGGCGGCAACGGCGCTTCGCGTACAAATCCAACAAGTAACAAGCAACTGCTGAATGGGCCATTTGGCCAGACTTCTTGGGGAATGTCAAAGGGGGAGAGGGACGGACAAGGCGAGTTGCAGCGGCTCTGCCCGTAATGTATGCGTCATTGGCTTTGGGGCTTGGTAAGATTTTTGTACCTGGCTGCCAGAACGAAAGAGAGAGAGAGAGCGCTGCTTGGAAGAGAGCTTTGAGCAAGAGGAAGAGGAAGAACGAGTGCACATGCCAAGAGAGGCTTTTCCAGCAAAATAAAAAAATTACAACAAAATTGAGCGTAGTTAATCGTTATGATAAACATAATCGTTGCTGTTGTTTTGTCTGCTCGATTGTTTGCGTATGTGTTTGTGTATAAATATATACATTTTGAGGTTTAGGTTAATTTTTGAGCCTTTCAATTTTATTATTACCAGCGAGAGAGAGAGTTCGAGAGAAGATAAACAGGCACTTCCGGCAAGTTTGTTATTCTTAACGAATTCTTGCGCTCTTCGTGGAAGTCATTGACTAAATGCAGCTGGCTTTATGAATCTAAGAGAACGTGCAAGTCAGCTGGACGCTATGATTGAAGATCCTTCAGTAGAAATTAATTTCAGCTGATTTTATTTTTACTTAACATTATTATTAGATTTTTACAACTTGGATTTCTCATATTTATAATTTCCATTGTCCAAAAGCTTACACGTTGCTAACAACCTTTAAACCCTTTTTATTAAAAACAAAAATTTAATGGCTATTGTTTAAATAATCTCAAGTGGGTTTATTTTTTTGCTTTGCTGATCTTTCGTTTTTGTTTGGGCAAATGAAAAAGAAAAACGCTAATGTATTCATAAACTTGCAGCTGTTTGTTGTTTTTGCTGTCTTAAATGTTTTTATTTATCTTTGCCGCGTTCATTAACAGAGCAGGGAGTGAGAGAGACAGAGACATAGAGTGAGCTGCATGAATGAGAGACGAACGTCAAATAATGTGGGAATTATTTTCAAAAGATATGCAAAATTCATTCAAGTAGTTTTTTGCATGAATTATTTATTTATTTATGTGGCTCAAATTGAATTTTCGCACGCTATAATTACGTTTGGAATTTGTTTTCAATTGTTGTTTTAATGTAGTAATTATACTAACCGAGTCCGAAACGTTTCTTGATTTTCTTGAGCATTTTCTTTTTGGTGGACATTTTGTCTTTGGGACTCATCATCAGTTCGCTGTTTTCCATGGCCAGGACATGAGCGGCGGCAGCTGCCGCATTGTAATGATGTTGATGATGATGATGATTATGCTGATTATGAAGATTAATTTGTTGCTGCTGTTGCTGATGTAGGACATGGCTGGATTTTTGCATGTAGTTGGATGGTATATCCGACAGACCCATGATGATTGCGGTTTTATGCGAAATTAAACTAACTGACAATATATGCAAACGGCTAAAAACTTAACGCGAATTTTTAAAAAAACGTTTTGGGCTTAAATAGAGTTCGTAACACATTGGATGTTAAATCATTTTGGTATTTTAGACTTTGTGTATTTTTTGTTTGTTTGTTTGCAACGGTACAACAAACAGAACAGAACAGAAACGATTCCAACGAAAACTAACCACGGACACAACGACGCCGAAGAAAGATGAAACGAGGAACGTGCGAGTCAGCGGAGCTGCGAACCAAACACTTCGACGTTTATTTTATAACTGAAACTTCTTTGAAGCGTTTGTGGGCAAAGTAAAATGCTGCGACGCCAGCGTCAGCGACAGCGCCAGCAGCTGAGCGGTGATGAGCGCGTGAGCACGACGCGGCACTATGTTGCGTTGTATCGTGAACAGCGTGAGTGCTGTGAGCTGGACACCTCGTCCTGAATTTGAAAACTTGCCAGCAGCAATTCGATTGGAGAGACTGCAATTAACTACTTGTGAGCCTATTATAATTTTTGCCAAGCACTGCACTCTTGTTGCTTGAGCATAGACCGTGAGCTAAATGTCAGTTCATTTGCACATCTCTAGCTCTAACTGTGTTTGTGGATGTCCAAAAACAACAGAGAGAGAGAGAGAGACTGTGAGCGAGGAAGAGAGAGCGCAGGAGAGCTGAGCGCAGTTGGGCAGCAGGCAACGCCGACGCAGTGCTGCTTGCAGCTGTTTCTTATTTACTATGGTTTCGCTTTTGTGCCTGCTTTTCGCGTGTATTGAACCTCCCTTAAAATTTTGAATGTTGTTGTTGGTGTTGCTTGATCGTTGTACACCTTGATCGCTGCTGATGCTGTTCTTGTCGTTGTTGTTGCTGGCGGCTGTTCTAGGCCAGGTTTGTTAGCCGCCTGCATTTTGAGCAAACTGCTGCTCTTTGCGTTTTTTTTTTTGGTTTAAAGACGCTGCTAACTGTTTTGCGGCACTTTTGGCCAAAGTTCAGCTAAGTTCAAGACACATTTTTTTTTGTTAGTTTGGTGGGCATTATGAGGCGATATATGGTCTGTTTGTTGCCCAGTTAAGAGTTAAGTGTTGAACGCGCAAATTAACAAGAATTGTCTGTAAATTGTTTTATTGGTTATGAGCTATGAACTTGAAAGAGTTTTATAAAACTGTTTTTTTTTTTGGTTTGTGGCAAGTTGCTTTGCTAATTTTGTTTTTTTTTTTAATATTTGAAACGATAAGAAAGAAGAAAAGATAATGCTAACTAGTATAATCGAGCTGAGGCTAAACAAGGTTGCCTTTCTCTTTTTTTTATCCCGAAACAAATGAAATTGATACAAATATATTTTATAGATTTGATACTTAGTCACTTTATTTGCTTACCGCTCGTAGCTAGCTTGGGAATACCCTTAAATGCTAAAACGATCATAGTAAAAAGCTCTTATCGATTGTCAAATAATGTGCCATAAATCAGGTTCATAAAGTGGTTGATAAAAGTACTCAACACAATAATTCATGGATAAAGTCTGTGAACTTTTAGACTTTATATGTATGCATAAAAAACAGACTCTATAATCACATGTACAATAATGCGAGTATATGAGATCATCAAAGTTGAAAATAGTCCAAGTGTATATAATTTTCGTTTGGCATTTACATTAAATGCTGGCTTAAGACAATTCTCTACAGTTATTGATTTAAATAGCCATGGAATCGTACGGTTAGGGTAACTTTAAGAACTGGCAAGAAATCCATGTGACATCTGAAGACAATAGGGCCTTGAACCCAAAAGGCCATAGAACCAAGCAGCGACAATTGTCCAGGCAAAGACAAATGGCAAATAGAAGAAGAAGCATAGACAGAGGCAGAGACAGAGGCAAAGACCGAGATCGCAGACGAGGAAGGTAAGGAACCTTATACCAGATAGAGGATAGCAGATGTTTCCCAATGTTCGTGGGAGAGACTTGAGAGAGAACAGCAAACTCTATAGAGGGTATTTTTGCAATGGGGACAACACACACACACACAGACACACACACATGCACATGTGTGGCAAAAAGAATTCTAAATTTAAACATAAACTACTTTGAATACGGGCAACAGAAGAATTATCTCCCCCAGGCAGAACAGCTGCCTTTTGGGGGCGCCTCCCTTTAGGCAAAATATGAATATACTTTTGAGTACAGTGGTCACTGGAACTCATGATCTAAAGATAACACAATAAACTACATTTTTAGCAAAGTTATTTTTGCTTCAGACTTTTGTGTAGAACTATGTTTTTTTTTATAAGAAATTAGTATTTAGAATTTTTTAATTAATATTAATTTGTTGTATAAGAAATAAGCATTTTAAACAATGAAATAATTTGAATAATTTCTCTTGATTTTGGTTATTAGTTTAAACTAGGACGCCGCCCTTTAGGTAAAATATGAATAGGTTTTTGACTATTTATTTTGAAAGTTATTTTGATAATAATTTAGCTCTCACACTTTTTAATTTAGAATCCTCAATTTTTCTTCATTTAAATTTAGCTCAAATAATATATTGCATACAAATTATAAATTATATTTTTTTTTTATAGTCAAAATAGGGTTTAAGAAATTAGTTTTTAAATCAGGGAGTGAAATATTTGAATGATATATTTTATTATGGTGAATAATTACCTAAGACTTATTTAAAATGGAAATAAATATAAAATAAGATATTAATTTTTTTTAAATGATTATAGTGTTTGCATTGCGGAACACTCCATTTTCATTTCATTTCCATTTTCTGTCTGCGATTGCGATTGACTACTGTAGTACGAGTATTTATTTATAATGTATGACGGAGTGTTATCAAAGGCCCTGAAAACGCAGACAACTGGCGCACGTCCGCCACGTGTTTCCAGTCACAATTCTGCGCTATGCATATGATAAAGGATAAACGCAGTTAAAGCAACAACAACAAAAAAAAAACAACAAAAATTTACACCTGGAATTGGCAAGCAAACAAACAAACCCGACAAGCGAAATGACTGAACAAAAAAGAAGAGGAAGAAGAAGAAGAAAAACCCTTCCAGTGATAAATGCAACCACAGATGCCAGCAGCGATCTTCACGTTTTAATTTTAATTTCTTTTGGGGGTAGGTTTTTCGAAAATTTTTGCACTACTTTGCACATCTTGTGCATTGGTTCCTGTTTCGCCAGCGTCCTTTTTATTTGTATTTACTTGGCGCAGGATCAGCCAGCGACAGCAGCTGTATTTCCATGCCCTTTTAGTTTAGACGGGACGCGCGCCTGCTGCCATCATGCCAGCCAACCAACCAACCAACCAACCAGCCAGCCAGCCAGTCAGCCAGCCAGGATGCTGAATATGCATTTCCACTTTAATATCAAAATTTAAATGCTTTCGCTGTCTGGCTGACTGTGCTGTCCTGTCCTGTCCTGTCCTGTCCCGTCCTGGATCCCTTCCGATCTGACAAATTGCATCTGCTGACATCGGTCTGGGCAGCAAAAACCAATTATTATCCTTCAACAGGAGTGCTCGCATCACAACAGTTGTCCACATCATACAAAATAAAATAAAACCACAGGATCACAAGTTTCCTGATCATCGTTTCTCAATGCAAATATGTCTTTAAAATAAACAGATCTCTATTAAAATATGTTTAAGAGCGCTTTCAAATTGTCGGGTTTAGCCATAGACAAATTTAATGATTAATAATTAATAATCCTCTGTGGAATTAACCACTAAAAGTTTTTGCTTAAGCATTTTAGAATACTTAGTTGGACCAAATCTTCATTTAAGAACAATATTTCTATTTCTAAATTTATATTACTTGATATTTATATATGTATTTTTTTCCAAATTAATTTCTCTTTTGTTTACAATCTTTCAGAAAGCAATAAGCAAATTTTAAATACTTGAAATTTTTGCACAATCTTTTTTTAGTACATAGTTGGAACAAATCTTCATTTAAGAACAATATTTTAGTTAGTGCTTATAAGCTTTTATTTGTTATTTTAAATATTTTTGAAAGTTTTCAATTTTTTATTTGCAATCAGTCAGATAACAATCAGATAAAAATATGTCAAAAATATTTGGATTACACCTTTTAGCATTCGCTTTACCAAAAAGCTATCTATATTTTGTTACATAACATCATCATCATATCATATTTTACAACCGTAACTAGATATTATTTCTTATCAAGAATTGCTGTAAGTTTTCAATTTCAGCATAATCAGGCAAATGTAAATGCCTTAGCCTTGATAGAAAAACTTGATATAGATATAGATAAAAATACGACACATAGGTATAAATTAAATTGTTGCCTATCTAAATTAAATCCCCAAACAAAGTATAAACAAAAATGGAAGAAATCTGTATTCATTTAATATTATACGCCAGAGAACCACTTGAATTATAGATAAGTAAGTTTAAATATTGGACTTTGAATTAAGCTTCTAATGAGAACTTAAATGATAGACACCCAAAAAAAAAATATGTATATTATATCAAACAGAGAATGAGAACTGAGCGGGAAATAAATGAATGTTATCACAAGTTAAGTTTGTTTTTGACAATCGAGTAAATATATCGAGAAGTCAACGAAATTCTTTGGCAATTCAAATATTTGATATTCTTATCACGAGCACCTGGAAAATGGGGAAAACAATGCAGCTGTAGGCAACTAGTTATCTATTAAATAGGATCGATAAAATTCGAAATGAAAACTGTAACAAATGTGCTGGAAAATGTTGCCCACGGCATGTTTAATTACAAAACGACATATGCAAAGGATCATGATCCTGTACACACATACGACAAAGACGGCCATATTGAGAGAGAGAGAGAGGAAGATGGAGTTCAACAACAGTTGTAGTTTCTTTCGTATATAAACATAGAAAACTAATCCCGCAGACTTAAGAATAGAAATGAAAGGAAAGAAATTACGCAAGCACTTGAGAAACGACAGCAGCAGGCAGAACTTTATACCAATTTATACACTGAGAGTAAAAAACGTGCATTTTCATCAGAAATTACGATGTGTTCATTTGAAATTTTTAAAATGGGAGAAAGGACTCAATAAAGTTATGTACAATTATTTAAAAGGCAGAATAATCTTGAATGCTATGGAGCATATATATTCTTGATCAACCTTTTTTACACTAGTCTGTATAAGTAAACTGCTGTCAGAGTCTTTAAAAGCTCGACACTTGCAATTGAGAATATAAATTCTAATACCAAAGGCAGATCAATAATTATGAACTGCAAAATATTTATTAAGATCGGATAAGAAACGCTGATTTTGTTAACGCAAACTTATTTTAATATTGAACAAACTTCTGAATTTATCATTGTTTTCCACTTTTTAGTAATAAAACACAATTAAAAAAATAATAATTAAAAACTGTCTCCCAATTTAGAATATAATTATATTTATAATAGTATAAAATCCATACAAGGTTGTTTCCTAACTATTAAATAAGAAAAATTCTACAATCGCAGCAGAAGAATGCTTGCAAATGCTGTTCTCTCAGTGTACATTTATGTGTAGGAAACAGTGTCTATATATAGGTGATCCTTTGGGTACCTGCACAGCAACGGCTGCCAGTTGTGCAGGGACGATGTAGGGAGAGCTGAGGGTGGGTGCAGCAACCGATTCAAATCTAGCGTTTTTGGGCTGCAGCCCAACTTCAACTTCCTTATTTTATTTCACTTTTTTTCTTGTGTGTGTGAGGCGCATCCGCACATACGCTAATCAAATATCAGGCGCGTCCTGCCCGAAAAATACCCGCCAAAAATCAACATATGTGAAGGAGAAGCGATTCAGCGAATGTATCTCATGGATGCAGACCATCCTGTGGCCCGTTAGATATGTGCTGTGTGTTTTCTGTGTTTTCTGCCAATGCATTTTGCGTTTTGGTGTTTTTTCCCCGCGTTTAAATATTGGAAAAACTCGCGCAGTTCGGCAAGTCATAGTGTGAGTTAGTCCTTGCTCATTGCCCATTGTCTTTGTCCTTGTCGTCTTTGGTCTTGGTCAACGGTTTTTACTACCTGGCCTGCATTTTCACTTATTGGGTTTTCCATTATCCTTCGCCGTCTTTTCAATCTCCTTTTTCTTCTCTTTTTTTTATAAGAAATCATTGCCATAAACTCAATAATTTATTGTCTACCAGTTGCATAGAAATCAGGGAGAGATATAGAAAAACTACACTGATTTTCTGAGGGGAGTCGTAATCAGGTATAACAGTACAGGTAACATAGCATAGGTTTATTGCACCTGTAGCTCGTCGTCGTCCTTTGTCCTAGCATTACGTCAAAGTTCGCGCCCATCTATTGATTAAATCCAGCACCTTAACTGTTTGCATAGCCGCGTGAGAGTTTTTCCCAATCGGGCACTTCTTCAGTTTGACTTGACTTTTTGTAGATCTGAGCTGCTTAAGGCATTGATGTCCTTATTGCACAGAGAAGAGGTTACGCTGTGGTAATTGTAATAAAGGATACTGGCCGCATTGTGCAGGTGTTTTGTGAGAGGTAAGATGCTGTCCATGAAGAAGGAATACCATCTTAAGTGTGTAATTTAATTCAGATCATTTCTAATCTTCATAATTATGATGTTTTTTTTTAGCTACTTATAAACTTCGAGCTGACAGATTTTTTTCTAATGTTTCATTATTATACCCTGTTACAAGTACCTAAACAAAATGATACTCTGAAAAGTACGTTCCTTAATTCAGGTGAATTAAAAAAAAGAAGTATAAATCGTATTTATTCCTAGTTCTTATTCTACTATTGTACTTATTTATAGTCTTCTCGATTGAAATACTTAAACATAAAAACGATTAACGATGCCTAAAAAATTTAAAATTCATCTAACTAGTTTAATCCAATGATATTAATCTTTTAAATGCATTAGAATTGAATTTTGAATTTTAACTTTTGATGAACAAATTAATAATAAAATTTCACTGTTGTTGAGTAAAATGTATTTAGAAACGTGTTCATTTCATTGCCTCTTCTATAAAAATCTGCTGAACAGTTAAAAGCTGCAACATTGAAAATAACTTTAAGCCCGCATTTGGCAGAATGTTTTGTGATTCAGTTCTTTCAGTCTTGCAAAAGAATTACCTGGCATAATTAATACATTAGCTACATTAAATACTCACAAAGCCCGTTTAATAGCAATTTATCGCATTAAAAAAGCCAAGTTTTAAAGCAAGTCTCAAACTTTGTGCTGTTTTTTATTTTAAATTATAACGTCTTTAAAGTGAGTACTTTTGTAATGTATCGACAGCGCATGCGCTGCGTCAAAGTGCCATCGCTAAGATAAACAACTGTTTTGGTGCGCGAGTACGGTGAAGATAGTGAGAGGGTGGGGAGGAATGGGAGGGTCACAAACCCTATTGGAATGCGGCAGGCACGAAGGCCTTTAATTATTGCAAAATATTCAATTGAATTATCTCACTAATATCACAGAAGTGCCACACTTATCTAAACATTTTCAGCTAGCAACATTGCCTGCAAGTACTCACGAATGCCCAACTTAGCCACAAATTAGCTTTAAATTAATAATGCACAATGCAAACATTCAGTTAATACCTTAATACACTTACCGATTTTACCCGCCGACTGTCCCATTCTTATTACATTTAATGCACTTAACACATTTGTAGCTAATGATTAGAATATTTTGGTATTATTTGATTGAAGCTTTCACCAACATTAGAAAATTTGTTTGCGTAGCCCAAAGACACATTGCAATTGACGTATCCACGTATACAAATTGACTGTGTTTCGTGGCGTTATGTTGCACATTTTATGCATAAATTATAAAACAATTTTTAGCACCGTTTTGGTTTTTTGAGGCCACATTTTTTAATTTTGTTTGGCTGCCGGCAGGCCAATTCGATACAATTCATATGGTCGGGTCACAATAGACGATGCGTGTATATCGATGCCAGGCGACAACAAAAGCACAACAAATGGTCTGGCAACCTTCGATCATCATTTGGGCATCGAGTAGTTGTGCCTGACAGCTCCGTGATTGAAGAAGAAGCAGCATCAAACATAATACGCGATGTGAGAAATGGAAAAATATGCAATAAATAGCTGATTACAATTGTGTTACTATAGTTTTTAAGCGTATGCACGTGGCCTAATCAATTGTTACAATACCATAGCGCATACGAAAGATTCAAACTTCGCAAGGATAACCACGCAAAACACACGCTAAAATGGCGGATCCCCTGAGTCTTTTGCGGCAATACAACATAAACAAAAAGGAAATAATCGAACGTGATAATCAAATCATATTCGGCGAATTCTCCTGGCCCAAAAGTGTGAAGACCAACTATCTCAAATATGGGTAAGTGCAACACTGCAAATAAGGCCATATTGCAAAAATATCTAGCAGTCGGAAGTAACCGACTGCGTTATACTCTGTTTCCATTGTAGTCAACCGTTGACTCTCAAACTGTGAGTAAGTCGCGAGTGACTCTAGAACTGTAAGGCAAATCACATTTAATTTCGTGAATTGAGGTCAAAATAATAATAATTAACTGAAATCTGATATCAAAAAGCAAATGTGCGAATTGCGAATACCCTCTACGTTCTTGGGGGACAGAGTATAAGTGATTATAAAATTGCGCATTGAAATACATTCAATTTGCTCGATTGCAGCTCCGGGAAAAAGGGCGCTCCCCGTGAATATTACACGCTGGAGTGCCTGCTCTACTTGCTCAAGAATGTTATGCTCCAGCATTCGGTGTATGTGCGTCAATGTGCCGCCGAAGATATACCCGCTGTAAATCGTCCGGATCGTAAGGAGTTGTTGGCCTATCTCAATGGAGAGACGCCGACGTGTGCCAGCATCGATAAGAGTGCACCGTTGGAGATACCCACACAGGTCAAGCGTACGGCGGATAGCGATGCTGCGATCAGTGGCGAAACGGCGGCCAAGAAGGCTCGCTTCGAGGAGACGCAGGTGCAAAAGGTGCGCGAACAGCTCGCGGCACGCTGGGATGTCAATCAAAAGGAGACGGCCGTCAACATGGACAACATCAAGTCGCTGTCGGAGACGATGTCCGTGGAGAAGATTGCGGCGATTAAGGCCAAGCGTTTGGCCAACAAACGCACGACCATCAAGCGGACGGACAACGAGGATGCCATGGGCACCGATCTGCGCGCTATTCTTGACTACGATGTGGACAGCACCAAGGATATCATCAGTCGGGAGCGACAGTGGCGCACACGCACCTCGGTGCTCCAGAGTACGGGTAAACTGTTTGCCAAGAATATATTCGCCATGCTGCAGGGCATCAAGGCGCGCGAGGAGGGACGCAACCGGCCACAGATGCCCAATCCCATCAAGATGCCGGAGCCCACGCGAATTGCAAAGCCACAGCCACAATTGTCGCAATACAATCGTTACGATCAGGAGCGCTTCAATCGCCAGAAGGAGGAGACGGAGGGCTTCAAAATCGATACGCTGGGCACATATCATGGCATGTCTCTCAAGTCCGTAACGGAAGGTTCGCTCGCACAGCGCAAGGCGCAGGCAAATATGCCGCATGCTGCAGCGACAGCGCCGACAACTGCGACACGCTCCGCACCCAAGGAGCTGCTGCCGACGGCACAGGCGCGACAATTGCCGGCGAACGGGCCACAGAAGCGACCATCGCGCACACCGATCATCATTATACCATCAGCCAACACGAGCCTTATTACCATGCTGAATGTGAAGGACATACTGCAGGACTTGCGCTTCTTCTCCACGTCCGACAAGAAGCTGCAGGGCTGTCAGCGCGAAAGCGAAGTCCTGCTCCAGGTAAACCCACCCATTTGTTTGCTAACTGTGCTTGATTTAATATATATTTTATTTTATTTGTTGCAGCGCAAGCGCAATAATCAGACTGTCTCCTATCGCATCGTCGACAATCCCCTCAAGCTCAGCCAGCAGGATTGGCAGCGTGTCGTCGCCGTGTTCGTCATGGGCCCACAATGGCAATTCAAAGGCTGGCCCTGGGATGGCAATCCCGTTGAAATTTTCTCAAAGAGTATGTCTACCATATCAAAGTTGTATTATCAGATCTAAGACATATTCAGTTTGCATAGAAACAATTCCCCTAAAACTGAGTTTATATCTGAAAAACTAACAAAATTTATCCAATATACATTTGGATAATACAATAATGCGCTTAGATGTTTGGCAGAAACTTTTTATACAACATGTTTATGTTCATATCGTATATGACTTGCTTATAATAGATTGCTAGCAGATTTAGTTACGTTTTTATTTAATAGCTTATTTGTTTACTTTTCATCAAATGTATCAATTACAAAGTTTGTTATGCTTTTCACGATTTAATGTATAATCATTCTACCACTTTCAACTCGGTCACATTTGAGAATAGCTCGCTTATAGTTCATGATTTTCTATATCTATCTCTATCATAAGATAATAATTATCTTAAATAATAATGATTCTAGTTGGTCTTTATATGAATATTTATACTTTGTGTCAGTCACAAAGTCAAATATTATTTTCATGACTTTTTATATATCCCTAGTAACCAGTCAACCTTTCTCATATTTGATAATACCTAATTTTTAACAGATTGTTTTAATATTTTGTTAGGTTTTTGTGCGACAAAACTATTTGTTTTCTTTTTATAGCGAAATCTTTTTCAGACGTTCATTTTACAAACGTTTTATTTTTATGCTTTTCTGGAGTTTTGATCAGTGTATTTACTAATATCATATATGATAATATTTTGCGTATAATGAATTGCTACAATATGTTTTTTTGTGTAACAACTTATTTATTTGACCTTTTATAAGAATATTTATATAATTAAGTAAACATCAGTTACAAAGTGCATTCTATTTTTTTTGATAACAATGTGTACCACTAACAAAGTTAGCCATGCCTTTTTATATATTTGATTTTACACATATATCGCTTATATTTATCTCATCCGTTTCTCTTCCTGCTCGGCTGCAGTTTGCGCTTTTCACTTGTGCTTCAGCGAGCTGAAACTGGATACGAATGTGGAGCGTTGGTCGGTGACGTTGTTGCGTCTGTCCCAAAACAAGAGGCATTTGGATCGTGCCGTGCTAAGCAAATTTTGGGAGACACTTGACAAGTAAATAGCCTTTGAATTGTGTAGAAAATGAACATTTATATTAATGATCTATTCTCTTGCAGATATATGCTTAAGTACAAGCCCGATTTGAGGTTTTAATATGCTGAGAGGAAAGTTTTTGGTGCGCATTTGTTTAGCGCTGCACACAAAAATCAAATAATGAAAAACGAAAAACAAACCAAGGTTTATAAATCAGCATTAGAACTTTTGCAAAGCACTTTGAAAATATGCAAAATGTTTGTTTTTCTGTAATTGTACAATGTAAACTACGAAACAGAGCTAAGAAATATATAATTTGTATAATTAGTTATAATAAAAAGTTTTAAGACAATAAGTCAAGCGTTGATTTTAATTTATATCTAAATGAATATCACTTTTTGCGTAGAAAATAAACAACTTTAATTGAGTAGCATTTATTACATATATATCGCAAATAGAAATTGGAACAAAATCAAGCTTAGCTGTGTGTTCTAAACTAAACCGCGCCCATTTGTAAGATGGGCGTAAAGAGATTGTAGGCCTGCTCGATGTATTTAACGGCCGTTAGCATCTCGGCAAAGTAGGTGTTAACCCTCGCCTTGCCCTCCTCCCGGTGATCAGCATCCTGCTCATTGCTCTTGCTGCTCAGCAGCGCGGCATGGCGTTGTGTCAGCCCCTGGAGATGTCCGTTGAACTGTTTGCAGAGATGCACAATGCCATCCACCTCGTTGGCAGTGCTGTGATGCGGTTTCACCAGCATCAGTTCGGCAATCTTGTGCAGCTTGCACATTTCCAGGGCGCAGGCTTCGCTCAGTGCATTGATGCTCCTCGCATACGCCTGCTCCAGATCGGCTGCGGTCGCCTCCTCGGAGTCCAGCCAGCTGAGCGACTTTGACCAGTGACTGCAGTGGCAAAAAAAAAAAAAAAACATGTTTATATTACAATAACTGCGCAATAATTGGCTTTGCTTGGGTTTGAGTATTATTATTGATTGTGCCAGTCAATACGCAGTTAATAAATCAGTTAGTAAATCTATCAGCAAGTCCTAATTGATGGACTATTTAATATCAATCATAAATCATTAGTCTTCAGTCAATCGTCTATCAATCAACCAGTCTGTCTAGGCTATGAGTAAATCTATCAGTCATTCAGTTAGTTTATTAGTCAGTTCATTGCTCAATCAATCAGTCAGTGAGTCTGTCAAATGATTAGGTAGTCCATCAATCTGTCAAACGAACAGACCGTATCAATCAGTTAAGTCACTCACACGATCAGATATTCTATCAATCGGATTAGTCAGTCATGCGCTGTCAATCATTCTCACAATCATTCAGCGAGTCCATCAGACAGTTAGTAATAATAATGGTCAATCATCAATCAATAGTCTTCAGTCAGTCGTCCGTCAATCAATTAGCCTGTCTACTGATAATTTATTGAGTTAAGTAATCAGTCAGTTCATTGATCAATCAATCTATCGAATGATTAGACAGTCTATCAATCAGATTTGTCAATCAATTGGTCAATCACAATAATTTTAATATATATGTTAAGATTAAGGAGATCTTTGGTCAGATCCTCACCTGGTTACATCATCAAATTTAATGCCCAGCTCCGCATCCGCAATGGTTGCCGACAAGCGCTCGTTGAGCTCAGCAGGTGTATAGTCGCCCTCGCTGTCGCACTCCAAGTCCTCCAGCTCGAGCAGCTCCCTCACCTCACCGATGGTCTCCTGCAAGTGTGTGCAGTAGTAATAAAATTGATAATGGATAATCCCATCGATATATTCACCTGCAGTTCACTTAGCGCCCGTCCACTGACCGCATCGAGGAGTGTGTCCAGTTTCAGGCGTGACTCTTTGGACAGTATTTCGAGGGCTTCGTAGTGGACCAGGCCGCAATAGTTCTCGAAGAGCACATCGAAACGCAACTGGGCCTTCTGCTTCTCCAGCTGGAGCTGTTGCATCGTTTGCTCCATTTGGTCAGCATCCTTCTTGGCCTCGAGCAGAATGGCACTCAGATTGGGCCCGCTGGACGCATCGAGTCCCAGCAATTTACGTTTGTTCATCAGCTTGGGATCGTTGTCCTGCAATATGGTCATCGTCTTCTTGCCAATGCCCTCGAGCGTGTCCAGACCAGTGTTCAGCACCTTGCTGCCCAGCGTTGTCACCATGCCCAAATTGAAGGCGGCTCCTGCACTGGCATTTTCCTGTCTCGCTGCTCTCGTCTCCTCTTCTTCCTCGTCAGCCGTTGTGCTCGCTGTCGCTGGGTTAGCTGCCGCTTCGGCGGCATTTAAGCGCGCCAGCTCCTCGGGATCGGGTACACCAATTATCTGATTGAGGCCCTGATTTACGTGCGTTGTGATATTGCCCAGACCCTCGCTGGCTGTGCTCAGCACAGAGCTTAGTTTGCCGCCCCACAGGCCCCAGCCGGAAGACGCGGACGAATTGGAGGTGGAAGAGGCAGAAGTATTTGGTGGAACAGCTGCTTCATCTCTGGCAACATCATCAGCAATAACAACTTTCGCCTTCTCTTTAATCGCTTTTGCGCTGTTTTCGTCTGGCTGCTTCTCGACATGCACAAACTTGCCGTCGTCGTCATCGCCATCGCCCCAATCGTCCCAGTTGTCGTCGTCATCGCTTTGATTCCAATCATTGGTCTCCTCCGCAGTTTGTTTATCCTGTTTGCTTGCCATTGGGCGATTTCTTGTGCGATTTCCACGTATTTTAATTCGCTTTCTGTGGCCAAACACTTATCGACATCTATCGATAATTTAAACTGCGGTCATAATTAGTGCGTTTTTGTGCGCAAAAATACCACTGTGAGACAACAGTGCGCTTTTGATTTTAACAGTGGCGCGAACTTTCTTATAATTTAAAAATTTACTTTTAATCGTAGCTAATCATCTTGTGTTGATTCTTTTAATAAACACGATTCGAGACTGACTTATTATTATGTATAACAATTGCTTTAAAGTTTAAACACATTTAAACTGATTAGTAAACTTACAATTAATTTTGATAGCAAAGCCTTCTAAACTTTAAATTTGTTAAATTTGTATATTGAATTGAACTAGTTTATTCTAATCCTTTTTTAGTTTATAAATAAATCGCTAGTGTCATTAAGTATAAATTCAATTTCATAAGTTCAGTCAAACACTAAATGCTGCTCATTTATTTGCTACTCTTAATTCGCTTACTGCCCGAGTTATTTTTCTGTTTAAATACACACAAAGAAAACTGACCGCACATGCGACGCCCACATACATAACCTCAAATTGTGCTGTCAACGTAGAATAATAACAACAACAACAACAACAACAATAACTGACTGTTGCTCTTGTTAGAAATACATAAATTATTGGAGAAACTTGTGTCACCTGTGCCATTGGAATGCCCAAGTTAAGCTTCCACTTCGATGCCTTGGCATTCACACAAACACAAACACACACATACGCACACACGCACACACACACACATACGCACACACACACGCATGTAGGCAGACAATTTGTTGCCCAATGCATACAAATTGAATTGATATTAGTTTGTAAAATATTTAGGCATTAAAATACCATATGTATGGAGGTATATAAAAATGTTTATACGCTTATGTTGGTATTTGTATTTGTGTTGTTGTTGTTCCGTCCTAGTTTCTTTGTGCAAATGTTTTCCATGAAAATCTTTATTTTTGCGCAAATGTGCGATGTAAATTGTAAACAGAGATTCCTGTGCTGTTGTTTATCTATTTTACATTTTACATAGTAACTCAATTATACAAAATTTGTATGTTCATCTGCAGAAGATTTCTGAATGGACAACTGAATAAAAATTGGAAGAGAATTATATTTACACGTATCTCATTGTATTTGTATGCTCTTTTCTCGCTCTCTCTGTTCTCAGAGCGGGCCATTTTTATAGCTAATTAAAAATAGAGTCTATTAAGGATTCGATTGGTATTTTGGAAGCGTAAAATGTATAAGAAATCTTTTCAATTGCTCGCAGAGACGCACAAGTTTTAAGTGTATTTGCACATTGTGCCACACATATCTAATTGTGCTCATAAATAAGAAATGAACACAAACAAAATTCGGTTGTCAGCTGAAAGTTTGTTCGCTGCTAACCAGCATATAAATTTAGCAGGAACGCAAAATTAACAAACCAAGACAATTTACCTAGCACACATACACACACACACACCGATACACACGCACACGCACACCTTGGCATATACAAAGAATTTTCATAAACTTGATGCATACTTTTAGGCAGTTACACACACACACACATACATATATAGAGTGAGCGAGAGACAACCGCACGCATATTTCCTCAAGGAGGCTGCCATAAAATTCTCAGAGCTAAAATTTATCTTCGAGCTGTGCAAAATGAGAAGCAACCAAAAAGCAACAAAACGCAACTAGTCCAACATTTGTTTTTGTTATTCTTGTTGCCGCTGCTCCTTTCCACTCAATTTGCCTCTCTCTGTCGCTGCTCTGCTTGCCATTTTCCTTCAGAGTTTCCCCTTGCCGTATGATTAATTTTTTAATTAAAAATTGTAAGCATAGCATTGAATGACAGCGACAGCGCTGAGAAAACATTTACATTATTGCGTTTACCTCAACCGCTAATATGTTAACAAGTAAAAATTGTCGGAGAATGGCAGAGGGGTGCATGGCATACTTCAACTTTTTATTAAGTTAAGCATCAGGTATGTGAGCTCTATGATCTCATTGCCAATTTATGGCACTTGACGCATATTTCCTTCAAGGCAAATTTACATTCAATTATGCATTGTGGATGTGAACGATATAGTAAGAGGAAGAGTGGGAGAGTGGGAGTGGGGAGAGCGGAGCTGGCCAAAATAATTGCATGTTCGTTTTACAAGTGTTGGTGCCAACAATTAAATGCAAATGTCTGCCAATTATTGCCAAGATGAATTTCTGTCTAAAGTTTCATGCCTGAAGTATTAGCACACACACACATACAATCACACACGCACCGGCAAGCAGTGTGCAAAGCTCCGTGAAAAGCTCACCCAATAGCGGTAAATTACTAGTTTACATTCGCATATTTTCAACTGCTTATTAAATGTTATTGACAGCCATGGCAAATGCATCGTCTTAAATAAAAGCAGCTTAAATATAATCTTTAATAGTCTCAAGTAATTATTGCTGCTTTTTTGCTGCTGGCATTATGTTTGATGTATTTTTAAATAAATACATTTGTTTCTTTTCTTAAATTGCTATAATTAAATCGAGTTTGGCAATTATTAGAAATGTATGTTTTATTGTTTATTGAATGTTATTGTTAGCCTAGAAAAAGGCCAAATGAGCATCACTGATAATCTGTGGATTCTTTTCATCATATTATTTCAACAAGGCTAAAAATAGATCCCAAGCCAATTTTATATTTGATCAATCAAAGTAAGACTTTTCTTTTATTTGTTGATTGTTTGGTGATTTCTATTTATAATTTAAATAAGTTTTTCTATGTTTTTTTCCACGGATGCTTTTCAATCAGTTGTGGAGTTTAAAACTTTTACTTTTAAAAGTCTCAATTGGCAATATTAATTTAAAAAATAACTCTACTCTTGCAAGATAGTTTGAATAATTACTTAATTCATGGAATCCTTCGATTGGTAAAATGTCTTGAAATTTGGGAGATATTTGGTAATTAAATAATAAATGCTATTGGACGTTTGATTAGTAGCATTAGAGTCACAACAGAATCTCCTCTATCTTGTTGTGTAATATTAGTATTAATAGTATTAATATATATATAGTTAAGCTAACGATCTATTAATTCTCTTATTTTATCTTAATTCTACAGTCTGTGATTTAAAGTCTGCTTTAAGTTTCTTTTGCCACTCAGTTTGAGTAGCGAAGAAATAAATACTTGTAGCATTATTTTAACTTAATTCCATTGAGTTACTATTACCATTTTGTCATTCAAGATACAGTCTTATTTACTTGTTAGGCTATTGAATGAGAGTGTTTTTTTGTGTTCAAATTGATTCACAGCATGTTGTCTGCACACTCAAGCCCAACTCAGTTATTCACAATCAAAATTGTTTTAACTGTGCACAGATAGACGAGACCACAAATAACCCGCTAGGGGTCAAAGGCAGAGATCATGCAAAGGGTCTACTTTGGCCGATATATAAACGTATATATATACATACATATATATATATATATATATATATATAAGTGTGTGTGTGTGTGTGTTGTTGCGAGTGTGTTCAGGCAAAGGACATCTTTGTCATTTTTCCCCCACAAGCAACTAATAAAGGAGCTCATCATTGTTGTTGCTGTCTGCTGTCTGTTGTACAATGTTATTGATACCTCAGCATCCGTTTAAGCACACACCCCCACACACACACACACACACACACACACACACACACACACACACACACACACACACACACACACACACACACACACACACAGTGTGACATACAAGGGAACCCTTTTTGGGCAATTCCCCAAAGTCTTCGGCTTTGCTGCTGCTTCCTCTTTTGGGTGGAGTTTGGCGCTATCTTGAGCTGATGACAATAAAGCAAACTTCCAGCTGTTTATTAACATGTTTCTTTGCCAATATACATACATCTTATATAAATACACACACTCACACACACACACACACACACATCTAAATATGTATTGCTTTAAGTGATGTTGATAGGCAAGCGGCTGCTGTTTGTCTGTTTACAAGTTTCGTCTTACGAGTGAAAAATTCCTTTAGGCCAAAGTGTGCATTAAGAAGATTGTTTTACTATTGTTGTAATACACCCGCACACACACACACACACACACACTCGTTTATTTATATATCTATATATATGTAACCCAAAAATACCTTAACTACATGACATCGCATTGGCAGACAAGACAACTTGCCTGCAGCTTCGTTTTGTTTCCTTCTCTTGTGCCACACTTAGTCCCCCCACCACCCACTGCTACGCTATCTGCCACCTATCTGTTTGTATACCCTTTATCCATTAAATTGTATAACAAGGCATTCTACTTTTGTGGAAGTGTATGTAACAGGTTAAAGGCTTTATTTATCAAATGAAAATCAATTTCTAAGCGAACCTTTTTTTTTGTTTTATTCTTAAAGAACAATTATTTTAGATTTCGATTGCAGTTGAGCTTCTTGGATTGCTTCCTTAACCAAAAATTAAATGTGATTAAACTTTTGAATTTTGAAATATTGGATATACTCGTATTTAGTTAATTATAATATTTCTGTGAATGTTTAAAACCTCATTAAATAAACGAAATTAATACTTAAAATTTAACTGTTAACTTTTAATATATATATGTGCATATTATACGTATTTAAAAGATAACAGAACAGTTATTTCATATTCAAAATTTTAAGGAACACAGTAGGATATTTAGAGAATATTTATAAAATTTATAATAATAATTTATTACTTCTTATTTTTCAGCAGAAGAGTTGCATCCTTCTTAGATGACTATGTAGCTTTTGTTGCAGGATTGCTTACAGGGTATCGTGTAGTCGATGACTCTTAGCTCGCATGCTTTTACTTGTTCTTTCGTTCTCTGTCTAGCTCGCTGTCATTCCACTCAACAAAAGGATTCAAATTTCATTAAATCTCATACAAAAGTATCAAAATGCCATTGTTGTCATGACACACACACACATCCACACACACACTTCCACACACACACACACACACACATCCACACACTCACACACACGAATTGCATTTACGTTCTTT